GATGTTCGACTCAAAGACCATCAAGACAAGCCCGGCAATGAAGGAACATCTGCTGTGGCTGAACATCTTGCTATGGGAAGGAAAACAGGACATAAAGTCAACTTTGACAACACCAACATACTGACAATCAATAAGCACATAGATAAAACCAGGAGACTTCATGAAGCTATCAACATCAGAAGATATCAGCCTGACCTTAACAGAGATGAAGGTGTTCGTTTATCGCATGCATATGATAAACTTATCAACTTGTAATTATTCATATTCAAAAACAATTTCCAACTTTAAGCATAGTTAGTTATATGAACAATGTAATTTCTATTAATAAAAGACTCCAATACCAGCAATAGTTGTTTATTTAATCTTCAATTAATCTCTTTTTTAATTCATTTACTTTACTTCAATTATTTTACTTAATCAGCCTGTATGTTATTTTAAGAATTATGTACCTCTTATTGTACCTGTTAAAATTTAATGTAATGTATCAATAAACCATTTTCTCTTGTGTGTTCTTAATAATAAGCATTAATGTATATATAGTTTGCCCATCACTTCTTCTCATTATGTGCCTGAGGACGACGGGGGAAACACGTCGAAACGTTGCATAAAACTTTAACCAGTGATTGTTGTTCCATAAAGCTGTGTCTATATATCGTACTCACAATTGCTAAATGCCATTCAAAGACTTTGTTGAATATTGCTTGCATATATTCCTTTATGAAAGATATTTGTAGTTTAACTAAGATAAAATGAACCTTGATGTCGATGAAATTTGCTGTTGTTTAATACTTTTCAGTACTGTAATTCATCTCACTTTAATTCTTTGATGTTTTCTTACAGAAACTAAAGACCTACAGAAGTCTCAGAGTTTTTCTCCTGCAAGTGTACCAGACGATTCCAAGCCAACACTGGAATATTCTGAAGAAGATTTAGAACAATCAGGTATTTGGGACACTGAGGAACTGGATGTGTTAAGGAAGGTTTTCAAGTCAGCTAAAACCCAGATATCTGATTTAAAAGTGAAATTACGTGAATATGAGGCTAGGAATAAATATTTAGAAGGCATCGTGAAAAAACAGGAATATGAAATAGAAAAATCAGACATTAAACTTCGTGAAGCAGCGAAATCTAACAAACGTTTAACAATCCATTGTGAGAATTTACAACATCAGTTGGATCATAGCAGTGCTAAATTAGATACTGTTACAGACATGTGGAAAGAAATTGATAAAGAGAAATCTAAAATGATGAAAGAAATCCAAGATGTGCGAGTGTCACATGATAAAGAGCGTCTGCTACGTAAAAATTTAGAACTGAAACTAGAACATGCTGTACAGGAAAGACAGAGAGCTGTGGATATAGCAGTTCAAAATACTAAAGTGAAATATGAAAAACAATTATTTGATTTGAAACAGAACCAAAAAGAATTGGTTAAAGAATTTTCTAAGGAGAAACAGTTATATGGTGTGACCAATAAAGCCTTAAATCATTTGCGCCAACATTTTTCAAGTCTACCTATGGATAATATAATTCCACCCAATGCTGTGACTGAAGATCAAGTGTCTAATATTAGTTTTGTGTCTTGATGATTTCTCAAGTTTAAATTTCTTTACTATTTTATTTTGTAAATGTATATAAATATTTTTATACATTAGTTGTTCTTCTGTAATTCATCTTGAACTCCTTACACTATCCTTTGTTTGCTGCCTCAAAGAGAGAATCTTGAGATGTATTCATGTTCTATTTTGGAACAATTTCCAAATTCATAGTTTAAGCTATATGGGTCAAGTGAAAAGTCCCCCTTCCCAATGATGTGAATTGCCAAACTATTATATAACTATCAACTAATTTTAAATGAGAATAATTTAAAGGAATTGCTGTTTGCTGTTTTTTTTTGTGTTATGTTTCTGCAATTGATTTGACTATTTAACAGGCTACACCTAAAGGTAATTTTGCCAAAAGCCTACTCTTTTACTTCCAACTGTTGAGGCATCTCTATATGTGCACATGATTGGAGAGGCTTGGGGAAAAACATATTCAAGAATGCTTTTGTTTTGTCAAATCTGTTTAATTTTAAGTCAATTGTTTATGGGATAAACTATAGCCTTTATCAGTTTATTTTATTATCAAATCTCACATATTATACAGTAACAAAAAACCCTTAAATATATACAAATAACAAAATCAATATCAAATAACAACAGATTTGAGAGATTCAAAGAGATTTTCTGGAATGGAAGGAAGGAACCACAGACTTCAGACAGGAAATCAAAATGGTGCAATAAATGTTCCAGAGATACCTTTTAACAGTGAAACAGTATCATGTTTCAGAAATCCTTTTTTTTTGATAAAGAAAATTCTATTAAAAATGAAATGAAAATGCATAGCAGAATTATCTTGAGTTGGTGAAATCAATTTTGAATATTAATATTGTTAAAAAGTATTCATATGTGAAAGTATTGAAGCATATATATGGCACAAGGAAATATAAATATTTTTGCTCGATTATTACTGGAACTTCTAAATAAAATAAAGCCATGTCATAAAATATGTGCAGCAGTGAAATTTAAATGCTTAATTTCAATTACACAAATTTTAAAAAACCCAGCCCAATCAATCTTGTGTGAAACTTAACAAAGTTAAGATATGAGAATTTCACCTTTAATAAATTTTGATTCAAGGCACATTTACTGTAGATAGTTTTCACCGAACACGTTTAGTTCGTTGATACATTAAGGGACTACGAAGTTTATCTGGAGCACGACATTTATAATATTCATTAAAGTCTAATCGGAAACTTAAGAATCTCAAATTAACATCAGCATGACTTGTTAACATTACTAGAAAATCTTGTACCATATCCTGAAATAAACAACAAAGCATGTACTATAATGTGTATCTGACAAACTGTGTCTTGAAGTGTGCATGAGGTACTTGCAATGCAGACAAAAGATATCCAGACAGATTGGAGGGAGGTCATTTTGTGTGATTGATTGTGGTGATTAGCAACTGTGTCTAAGTGCGTGGAGCCTAAGCTCTTCTGCTGTTTTGTGATTGGCAAAATTAGAGGATCTTTACACAGGTGTTTACATAATCTATAATGAAGACTACATATAAATACGTAAAATTTCACATAGAATTTCATGTTTTATATTTACTATTCATATCATTACCACTACCTAATTGATTAGTTAGTTATCCTAGTAAAATATGGATGCTTTTTTACCTACAGACACTACAACCATGATTTTTATGAATACAAATAAACACACCTTTCCCTGAAATGTCTGAACAATATGAACTGTTTTTAAATCATGACAAAACTCTGACAAATTTTGCCAAAGTAATGTAACTACATGTACTACTCTTTTAGCCATATGTTGTTGATTATGATCAGTCTATCTCAAACAATCTAACATAGTACAATACCTGATAAGACTGAGCTAAAACTGTTAGTTGAGCCCATGTTGAAGGTATCACTGTATTCAGAAACTCCTCTTTTCTATTACTTTCTTCTTCAGATTCGGCTTCAGTTAAAGCCCATTCACCCTATCCAAAATAAAATAAAAATCTTAGTTTACTTTTGAGTGATTCAAGCGACTTCTAGCATGCAAATATAAATACGGAGAATTTCAAAAAACAACTATTTCTTATTTTAAGTAGCAACAAAATTTCATGGTCAGTTTGTAGTTGTCTTTAGAATATCAATGGTGCAAAATACCTATTCTGAAACCCATCAGTAGTGACAAAAATACAAACCTCTTCTGTTCTCTTATCTTTCATTTTATTAAATTTCTCTCTACAAGCTATTTCATGTTCAGCTGATTGGTAGAATTGACTTTGTGCTGTTTGAAACTGTATGATTAAATCAAATATTGTTCTCAACTGTGTTAATATTACCTGCAATTAAACATAAATAAGAATCAAAATACTGATATTTCAAATTTCATATGCTTCATTGTTTCTGTGAGATAATATCCATGTTTTCTATGTTTCTTAAGCAAGAGTTTTTCTTTTCTGACCATTTCAGACTACATTTCTTGTATATCACTTTCTTCACCTAATGATGACAATGTAGATTGTTGAAATGTCGTGTGTAATAAAACTAAGGAGTAGTATACCATAAAATTGTGTTCCGTTATTTAATGTGATCTGTACCCCTAAATGTCGCTAAAGGATTATCTAAATACCTTGTCGGTTGCTTACAGGAATGGGTTGTGAATTGCCAACAAATCTGATATCAAACATGCTATTACTCAATAATAACAATAGCTGATTATATGCATAGGGTACAAGATGCAATTTTCAAAATTAACTGACAAGTCAAATTCAAAGTGTTAATAGAAGACCAAGTATAAGCCTAGATAAGTGAACATAAGAATCAAGTTGCTACCTACTCTAGATTTGTCGTCTAATAAACATCTAGCTATAACTGTATCTTGAAATTCTTGATGTGCTGCTATAATATAATCTAAATCTTCAGCTTCAGCAACTTTAGTTAATAATATATCCCACGAACATTCTATAACCTATAACATAAACCGATAACCCATATTCAATACTGATATCAATTTGATATCTGCTCATTTTATATAAGAAATGCATTTAGATTGTATTAATTAAGTCAAATCTTAAGTCTCTCCCAAGATTGAGGCATTTTTTCTAAAGAAGAAACAATTACAACTAATATTTTACAGTATAAAATTATATAATGGTATGATAACTTAAAGTTTCTATGATTTTATACGATATATTTTAGAAGCTGGCTGAATACATTACAAATATTCATTATAGGAAATTTTCTCATATTCTCTGAATGTTATGTTAATACATGAAATATTTATAGACTAACCTCGAAATTGATATAATATTGTACTTGTTGTATAAAATGTACCATTTCAGCTCCTAATATATGACATTGATGAAGGATTTTATTTAGTTCTGAAAAAAATCGAGATTTCTGAAATTTTTTTACAGGTTCAATGGAGCATTTTATACCTATTTCCACATTAAAGTCAGACTTGATAAACAGGGCTATTGATTTGGCTCTATTTTCTGGATGATCGAGGATAAATATTCTCTGCAGGAGAAATAACAGTTAGCCATTGCGTGTCATTCGATGTTTGTCAAATGCAAAGTCTGATGTCAAATCATAAATGGTGAATCAAATTGTTCTTAAAAGTTGGCTACTAATTGGTCAAATTGATTATCTTGGTGTTTATAACATAACCATAGAATAGAAAGTAAATTACATGGTCAATGCATACTGAATAAGGATCATACGTAAACCGAAAAAAAAAATCTAGCTTACCTTTGTGTTCATCAAATGTTGACCACAGCCAAACTTAACAATTCAGGTCAGAAGTTAAACTTACCTGGTATAGGTTTTAAATATTTAGCATAAGATATTTGATTTTTCCAGATCATAGCCAATATATATTCCATACGTTTAGCTCTCCATAGAAAATTAAATACTTGTAGATACAGAATCATACTTTCTGGTGTAAAGACCTACAAATAAAAACAGAGTGATTTTCCTATGTCCACCTACAACGGTTATAGCCATCAGTTATTTGAAGCCAATTAAATGACGTTTTATGTCCTACAATTCTGCATCTGATTAATCATTTATTTGCAGCAAAGATGTCATTTAAGAGTTTCAATAATGTAAAATATTGCACAGATTTTGAACATAAATAAGCAGTTTTTAAGAAAATGAGCCTAAATAATAAGAAATTGAATATATACCGTTCTGATGGGTCCATCAACATGATAATCTAAACTAAATACATCCCAACCAGTATCTCCAGGTGATACCTACAATTATATTACAGTTTATTCTTAACAAATATCATAAAACAAACTAACAAGAATATTTAATACCTTTTTAATACAGATATATAAGGTTCAACTCCTTTTTGGGATTCAACGCAATTTTGGCAATGAAAGTAGAATACATTTTTTAAGTTTGAATGTATGTTAGGAGAAGTATGATTCAGCCAAGCAAAACATGTATATTTCTTTTATAATGCCTACCTCTAATAATCTAACATCTAGTCTTTTTAAAGTATCAGCATCATCATATTGAGCATTAGTAGCTCTAATAGCCATCTCTAATATACCAGTTAAATTATGTAGATATAAATTACTAGCTGGTTTAGCTAGATCTTCTCTGTAATAATACAATAAATTATATAGATATAAATTACTAGCTGGTTTAGCTAGATCTTCTCTGTAATAATACAATAAATTATGTAGATATAAATTACTAGCTGGTTTAGCTAGATCTTCTCTATAATAATACAATAAATTATGTAGATATAAATTACTAGCTGGTTTAGCTAGGTCTTCTCTGTAATAATACAATATATTATGTAGATATAAATTACTAGCTGGTTTAGCTAGGTCTTCTCTATAATAATACAATATATTATGTAGATATAAATTACTAGCTGGTTTAGCTAGGTCTTCTCTGTAATAATACAATAAATTATATAGATATAAATTACTAGCTGGTTTAGCTAGATCTTCTCTGTAATAATACAATAAATTATGTAGATATAAATTACTAGCTGGTTTAGCTAGATCTTCTCTATAATAATACAATAAATTATGTAGATATAAATTACTAGCTGGTTTAGCTAGGTCTTCTCTGTAATAATACAATAAATTATATAGATATAAATTACTAGCTGGTTTAGCTAGATCTTCTCTATAATAATACAATAAATTATATAGATATAAATTACTAGCTGGTTTAGCTAGATCTTCTCTATAATAATACAATAAATTATATAGATATAAATTACTAGCTGGTTTAGCTAGGTCTTCTCTATAATAATACAATAAATTATATAGATATAAATTACTAGCTGGTTTAGATAGGTCTTCTCTGTAATAATACAATAAATTATGTAGATATAAATTACTAGCTGGTTTAGCTAGGTCTTCTCTATAATAATACAATAAATTATGTAGATATAAATTACTAGCTGGTTTAGCTAGATCTTCTTTATAATAATACAATATATTATGTAGATATAAATTACTAGCTGGTTTAGCTAGGTCTTCTCTATAATAATACAATAAATTATGTAGATATAAATTACTAGCTGGTTTAGCTAGGTCTTCTCTATAATAATACAATAAATTATGTAGATATAAATTACTAGCTGGTTTAGCTAGGTCTTCTCTGTAATAATACAATAAATTATATAGATATAAATTACTAGCTGGTTTAGCTAGGTCTTCTCTATAATAATACAATAAATTATGTAGATATAAATTACTAGCTGGTTTAGCTAAGTCTTCTCTGTAATAATACAATAAATTATATAGATATAAATTACTAGCTGGTTTAGCTAGGTCTTCTCTATAATAATACAATAAATTATATAGATATAAATTACTAGCTGGTTTAGCTAAGTCTTCTCTGTAATAATACAATATATTATGTAGATATAAATTACTAGCTCGTTTAGCTAGATCTTCTCTATAATAATACAATAAATTATGTAGATATAAATTACTAGCTGGTTTAGCTAGGTCTTCTCTATAATAATACAATAAATTATGTAGATATAAATTACTAGCTGGTTTAGCTAGATCTTCTCTATAATAATACAATAAATTATATAGATATAAATTACTAGCTGGTTTAGCTAGGTCTTCTCTGTAATAATACAATAAATTATGTAGATATAAATTACTAGCTGGTTTAGCTAGGTCTTCTCTATAATAATACAATAAATTATATAGATATAAATTACTAGCTGGTTTAGCTAGGTCTTCTCTATAATAATACAATAAATTATGTAGATATAAATTACTAGATGGTTTAGCTAGGCCTTTTATTTCTCCAGATGGCATGGTGGCCTTACTGGATGATTAGATCTTAAATATAGGGAATTAGAATTGATCATTGGGGCTTAAAATTAAGTCTGTTTTTAACAAATATGAGAAAAATATTTCAGAAGAATTTGTGTGTTACATTGACATTGACTCATGTATACTATAAATAGTTTAAATGCAATGATGGCCAGATGCAAAAATACTTCTTACATGTAATGATTACAATGTGATATCTGGACTAGCAATAAGACTTTACTTCTGTGCCTATTGCAAAAGATTCATCACTTTCTATACTTACTCAAGTAGGTCCATCAGGTGTCTTATAAAATCTCCTTGTCCTAATAATAGATATCTTCTCATAGCCTTTAAATGATCCATAAATTTATATTTAGTATGTAAGACTGTGAGTAGATTCTGACTAGTTTCTTTATAAACTAAATCTATCATATCTTGAAAATCATTATTACTATCTTGTGTAAACATGGTTTCAGCTGAAAACAGAACAATATTTAAAAGTAAAGTTTACAGCATCAAGTAGGAGAAGGTGAACATCTGCATGACCAACCAAAAAATTTTGATGCTCATTTCATAAAACTTCGAAATCATAAAAATTCTGCAACAAAATGTTTCAGTTCTAGACTGCATTTCAATCTTGTCAATGATTTTAGTTCCTTTAGATTATAGAGAGTTGCAGTATATTTCTAGATTTGACAGAAAATTTTCAGGGAAAACATTCAATTGATTTTGACTCACACATCATCACAATAAATATTAATTTTGGCTAATCAAAGGAAATATTGCGAATATTGGTAACTTTTGTGAGAGTTAAAATTGAACTGCTTCTGTTCAGTAAGTAAAGTAATTCTAGGTATATTTTTTAATAGAAAATACAGTTTACAAGTTACCATGTGAGATCTGTAGATCCATAGCAGCCTCTCTACCAGCAGTTGATGTTCTATCTTGACAAACTTGACGTAGGAAATTTATAGATTTACCAGTTAATAATATCTATAAAGATAGCATAAATAGATAGATCTAGACATATAATGTAAATATATAGATTTATAACTCACCTCAATAAATACATTTACAAGTGGCTGTGTGTACATTGCCTATCTTAAAATATTCATTTCATAGTCCTTAAGGCAGAGTTAAAACTGAATTTCATGCTGAGATCAAACCACTTTTAAAACAAATTACAAGTAGATGAATGGTAAATTTCTATATTTCTACATTAATGGAAAAACCAAGAATATTACCCTCCTAGCTTGTTCAGTACTGATACAAGATGGTATCATTGTCTTGCGTAGACTATATTTATCATGCCATAATCTATCATGATTCACTGTAGGATCAGATGCCACAAAAAACTGAAATTAAAGACAATAATAGATTGGATTAAGATGTCACAGAAATGGAAGCTTTTGCCGAAGTGTACAAAAAAAAATAGTTGAGAATGCTTTTATAACTGAACTTAATCAGTTTAATGCATTAAACATATAAAAAAAGACATCAATTTGCTGTGTGCACTGAGGGAAACTTTGCAGATACCACAGATCATTTTCAGGTTCACTAATGATCTTCAACCTTCACATTCTTCAGCACACAAAGAAAGCATCTATTATACAGAAAAAATTGTGAAATTCTAGAGCCACAACATCTCCACCTTCAAGAAAATTTTACATTAGAAACAGAATTGGAACAAATTTAATACATACCTCATGATAAGTATCTTCTAATTCACCATCATATATCCACCTTACTAATGTAGCATAGACTGGTTGAAATACCTGTATATTGGAAATCAAATTATAATGTTACAACTGTAAAAATCCCTTCATGCTACAGTGTTTGCAATAATGAAGTTTTATGAATTTGTTCATGAAGCTGTAAGTGCCTCTGATATACATACAAATACTAAAAATATCTTTAGAATTGTTTTAACTAGTTTAATCATGGTTCAAGTATCCCATTGATAGATATCATAAGTTAAGAATTGGTTAAGAAGAAAAAGAATTAATTCACAAGTTTCATGATTATCATATTCCCAATAACAAATATAAAAGACTTGTTTTAGGGTAGAAACTGCATACTATATGCAATCATTATGGTGTCTGTATTAAGTAATAACAGAGTAGATTACTTACCATAGTTAAAGTATGTTTTATCAATGATCTAACAAATGGATCACCATGTTGTATATAAGAGTAAATAGCTGAAGCTAGAGCACCACCTTTCTTACCTAAAAATATTTAAATTATTATTGTGATAACCAGAATTTAATCTCTAATGTTTTGGTATGCTCTGTTTTTTTTTGTGTAATTTTATAAACAGTTGCATAAGATTACTTGACAAAAAGTATACAGTACATTTAGTTAATGAAGAATGAAGAAGTCATCTGCTATTTGGCATACCTTTACAAGCATCAACTAAAGCAGCTAAAACTTTAAGTCTAACTAGAGGATCAAATGTCCAGACAGCCAATCTACGTAATGTTAGACCAGTATTACTAGAGTCTTCAAATCCTGCATCTTGTTCATGTTGTAGCTGTTAAAATAAAATATTCAAAAATATATTTTGTAATTATTATCAAAAACATAAAGAACATAGCGTATTGAATCATAAGATTTAAGATCAGTTCAGAAAAGCAGAGTTGATTGGAATCTTTTAAAAACTATACACTTTATATCACCTGAGCTTCCATGACTGTAATAAATCTATAATATTCTGTTAATTCTTGATGTAAGGCAGCACAGAAACTCTGTCCAACTAAACCAAAAGCTTTATCAGTACTCCATGATGTAACATATGTTTTAGTTTTATTGTATAACCAACCACATTCTGCTAACTTACTAACTAGTTGTCTAACTGCTTTAGGTATTCCAGCCTACCAATAGAATAAATTCAATTCAATTTCAATTCATTGGTATGACATATGAAGCAATTGTCTGAACAAATTGTATCAAGCTTAGATTAGACTATCCATCTAAGTAATTTTTACATACTTTCTAAACTAAGATAAAGTGAGTATTTGTTGTAAGTGAAACTCTTATCTTGGGGGATATTTATTCAAACATCTTAAAATGATGATGATCACATTCAACTGATACAATCTATTTGCAGACATTATGAAGCCTGTTTCAGACATGACAGAGAGATCCCAAGGTTGAGATGATGGGCTATTTGTTGATAATCAAGACAGAAAAATAGCAATCAAATTAAGCAAAGTGGCAATAGAACACTTGTACCTGAGAATCTATTCTATAACCATCTTTAACAGTATTGAATTTAATCCATCTACCTTCTATACCTTGAAATGCATACATTAAATCTTTTAATAATTCACTTTCATTGACTTCATCTGATTCTGAAATAATACCATAAAAGTATGCAATATAAGAATGATTTAAATATAAGTTGAAACAGTTGTGAATGAGGAAAGAGTAAAACTTAATGATATAATGATCATCATGGGTTTTGCCTTACGACCCAAGTATCACGATGACATGACTTGTTAGAAAATAAAATTTGAAAATGCAAATAGAACCTAGGAAATTATCTTACTATCATGTGATCTGTGTGAGGAAACATATGTTGTTGTAGTTGTCTTGGCAACCATACCTGGAGTTCTGGGTACCAATGCAGATTCTGAAAAAGACATATAAATCATTAGGATGGGAATTTTTCAACAATTTTTAATGTAACTTTTTTAACTTTATTTGCAAAAATCTCACTTAACTGATAACTATATCTCACAAAATATATAATTAATGTATCATTCTACAATTGATATATTGAGACTATAAATCTGGTAAGCAACAGTCTTTATCAAGTGTATGAAACATAACTCACCATGTTGTTTTGATTTCGTGATAGTTGTTGTACCTAATCGAGTAGCAAGATCTTCACTGGTTTTATTACTAACAGTACGGTATGGGTCAGATCCTACTACATTACTGCAATAGCAAAAACAATACGGTTTCATTTAAAGACTGTACACACCTGACTTGATTTTGAATATTTTATCTTACTATTGAGAATTTCATGCTACCATCATCATCTTCAAATAGAGCTCTTTCACACTGCCACATTAAAGGTGGAATAACAAATAAGAAATACCTTGGCATAAAACTTTGAGGGACTGGAGTAGTATCAGTATGTTGTCCACTGTGTATACTACTAATACCACTACTGCCAGTACTATACAGGGCACTGTGAGTTAAAGTCATGTCACGCCCACCTCTTGTACCTCCATGGAATGGTGTTGAAGTAGCATAAGCAGGTAGTCCTTTACTAAACAATGAACTGTTGATAAATGATGATGTCTGAAAAAATGATTTTTGTCAATAAAATAAGAAGTATTATTTAAATCTCATTTACCCAAATCCCTTTAAAATAACCAACAAATTCAAAGTAAGGTCAGTAATCTTGTATATGGGAGGAATCAAAGGGCATAAAAAAAGGGTTAAAATTATATCCCATCACTTGTGTTGCATCTTTGGATTTTTAACAAAAATTTCTCCAATTTCTCCTGTCCAATCTTGAACAAAAAAGTCCAACAAATAGATGAACCTCAGTATTTATAGAATATTTCAATATGTACATCTTTTCAAGATTAAGAATAAGATTATTGAAATTAGTAAACGCTCATTGCGAGCATTCAATATTGCTTTGATAAAAAAGCTGATAGTTACCTGTTTAGATGATGGTGCTGTATCACTTAATGACATTAATAAATATAACACTCCCCATCTATTATGTAGCACACCCTAAAATACATAAATCAAGAAAATGTCAGATTTTTAAATCTATGATAAGCATTCTAAACTAAAACTTGTGGAAAAAAGACATATCTGCAACTCTTACTGCATTTCCTGTCTATTAATGTTATTCTTATCAATTTTTTAGATAAGTTTTCAAAAGTGATACAAAATACCTTTTTCTGTCAAATTTATGTAAACATGTAACTGCAGCTTTTGTCATAATCACCTTTCAGGTACAACCAATGATGCATATGAGTTCAAACTTTCAGGAAGTGACTAAACCCTTGCAGTTTGTTTGTTAAAATCAAATTTTCAAGTAATTGGTGTGAAAACATACCTGTGCCTTTAATTTCCTGTGTAATTCTGAAAAAATAGCAGCATCTTTTTCTCTACCTTTTCTTACCACTGAAAGTATTCAACACAATTACTACTAAAATGCAAAGACATCTCATCTTTAGTACCTGTTTCTCAAAATATCTTTAAATGGATATTTATTTGTCTTCGTGTATCATTATCAGTGTTGACCTAATGAAAAACGGTGCAAGGATGAATATTGTTTCTAGTTTCAATAAGGTAATATAAGGTTCATTTATAAATTTCTCTTGAAAGTGCTGATCCACTACATGAAAATGTCATTAAAAGAATATTGCATATCAACAGACAATCTTATCATACATTAATATAACTACAACTTACACTGTCTTTTGATTTTCTCTGAAACCTGAAATTCATCTTCTTCAACTGCTGGTGCAAATTTACTGGAAAAAAGAAAATAAAGTATAGAAATTTGTGTTTTTACAAATTAATAAGACACAAATGGCCTGAGCTAAAAGTTGAATTGAAACTTTTAAAGTCTTTTAATGTAGTAAGTATTGAAAATAATTTTTCAATTCTATTCCATTTGTCTTAGAATGCCTTCAGGTCTATAGAATTATGAGGAACAGTGATTTTACATCTAAAATACACACATTTTCCTCCTAGAAAATTCAATTTCCATTAACTCAAAGACAATTTAAGACTCTCAGTAGTATTTTGTAGTTGATATTTCCATTCATTCAAAAATGATTGCCAAAATTCAATTCAGAAATCAATGTAGTCAGAGAGTTAGCATTTTTACAGACAAGGTACCATATATCAAAGGAATAATTTAATCTTACCTACTAACTATTCTTAAAGCAAACTGGTAATGAGGTAAGACAGCATCTAAATTTGAAAGAGGAATGTGATAACAGTGGTAACAAAAGCTTTAAAACTATGATGAAGCCGCCTAAAAATAGCAAATTTCAAATTTACTCAAAATTTCAGATTTGGTATAGATCTTCTATTTGACAACATTGTATTGTAGGCTAGTATTTGTAGGGATATCCAATATCCATTATAACATGCAATTGATGTTATGTCTTGTCATGTGTGATTTATTTATGAGATATATGGAGTTCAATTAACTAATTTTACGATAAATTAAATGACAATCAACATATACTTGACTGGAGTGAAATCTTATTATGGAATAGACCTAAAAGTCCAGTTCAACCAAAAGTAAAAAAATGTTCAAGGCCTACTAAAAAAAGTGTCTAATCAGAATATAAAAAACACTAGTACCATCAGACAGTCCCGTCACTTGGCAGCACAATCGCTTTAGAAGTGATGAGGGCGTCGACTCAGTCGATTCAGATGAGGAGGCCATGTTGATTACAAAAAATTTGAACGGAATATAACGATTTCGTTCAATAATTTGACATGTTTACTTCAGTTCCCGCGCCATGTCAGTTTTTACAGGAAGTAGGTTTATTTATTTTCGCATTCAACATAATATTGACGGATTTTTTTCCTTTTAACTGTAATTCAAGACAGAGTAACGATAGCTCTTTTATTTTCAACAAAATTTGCATCTTGATACAGCATGAAAGACATAATCGTAGTTTTTGTATTATTTTCTTTTCATGTTTTTTAATTAGGTGCCAATAGGTCAGAGGTCAGAGGTCAATATTATGTTGCAAGAAGGAATAACAAATGACAAGTATCATCGGATCATCGCCTTACAGTTAAGACCATTAGACTGTTCTAATTTTGGCAAATCATATTAAATATTGTAACAAAGAACGAAATAAATTTAATTGTTATTATTTATTGAAAACTAAAACACCGATTATTTCATTTAATGAGAAATGGATTAGTTGTAAAACAACATAATAATATAGCAAAATTTTTTGATAAATTTTTGCATTTTGTTCAAAAAGACGTATTAATATTCTTCTCCCTCTCCTTCCTCTCCTTCGCCCTCAACAGAATCAACTCCAACTTCTTCATAATCTTTCTCAAGAGCAGCTAAATCTTCTCTCGCTTCAGAGAATTCACCTTCTTCCATACCTTCACCGACATACCAATGGACGAAGGCTCTCTTGGCGTACATCAAATCAAATTTATGATCCAGTCGAGCCCATGCTTCAGCTATAGCAGTGGTATTACTTAACATACAAACAGCTCTCTGGACTTTGGCTAAATCACCTCCTGGTACAACAGTTGGTGGTTGGTAGTTGATACCGACTTTAAAACCAGTTGGGCACCAGTCGACAAATTGGATGGTTCTTTTGGTCTTGATCGTGGCAATAGCAGCATTGACATCCTTGGGTACAACATCACCGCGATACAACATACAACAAGCCATATATTTACCATGGCGAGGATCACATTTGACCATTTGATTAGCTGGTTCAAAACAAGCATTGGTAATGTCAGCCACAGATAGCTGTTCGTGGTAAGCCTTTTCAGCAGAGATAACTGGAGCATAGGTAGCCAAAGGGAAATGAATACGTGGATAAGGTACCAAGTTGGTCTGGAATTCTGTAAGATCTACATTGAGAGCACCATCAAATCGTAGAGATGCAGTAATAGAACTAACAATTTGTCCGATCAATCGGTTTAAATTGGTGTAAGTTGGTCTTTCAATATCCAGATTTCTTCTACAGATATCATAAATAGCTTCATTATCTACCATGAAAGCACAATCAGAATGTTCCAATGTAGTATGGGTGGTAAGAATTGAATTGTAAGGTTCTACTACAGCTGTCGAAACTTGTGGAGCAGGATAAACTGCAAACTCTAATTTAGACTTCTTCCCATAATCAAAACTCAATCTTTCCATCAATAAGGAAGAGAAAAACCAGATCCGGTTCCACCACCAAAACTGTGGAAGATGAGGAATCCTTGAAGACCAGTACATTGATCAGCTAGCTTCCTGGTTCTATCAAGAACCAAGTCTATCAGTTCTTTACCAACAGTGTAATGACCTCTAGCGTAGTTATTAGCAGCATCTTCTTTACCAGTGATGAGTTGTTCAGGATGGAAGAGTTGACGATAAGTACCAGTTCGGACTTCATCTACTACTGTTGGTTCTAGATCCACAAATACAGCTCTAGGAACATGTTTACCAGCTCCAGTCTCGCTGAAGAAAGTGTTAAAGGAATCATCTCCACCTCCAATAGTTTTATCAGAAGGCATCTGACCATCAGATGATACCATGTTCTAAACAGTACAACTCCCAACAGGCATTGCCCATCTGGACACCAGCTTGACCAACATGGAATAAATAACCTCACGCTGAAAAGGGATAAAAACGAAGACTATAGGAGCAGTTCTCTTTAAAGTAGAATTCAATGGACAGCTCTCGTAGAAGATTAATGTCATTTTTGAAGGGAAGACAACTAAAAAAGGAGATAAAGCGAAGAAAGTGTGCTGCTGTTGGAAATTTCTAAAGTGCGGGGACACGAAGATATCATGCGTTTCACTCTCTTTTCCTTTCCGGTCTATTTTCACATATTCGAAAAGATAATTTGGGGAAATGCTCTCATAGTCATGTAGAATCAATTTGATTAAAAGTATCTTACCATTTTGAAATTTGGTGATTCTTTTTACAGGAGAAATGTAAACCTTGTTGTAGATGTTCTAATGAACAGTAACAAGTTTTAATGTTGATATAGAAATTAGTATGTTATAGGTTAATTTATACCCTTTAGTTAATCTGAAATCTAATGTTGATAGTTACTGTTGTTTAGGGTTACCTGGATTATCGGATTTAGTTAATCCTTGATTTCTTTAACGGCATTTTGTTTAAGGTGATTTTTGTTTCATACCGACGAATCAAAGTGGCTACCGGTACCAAATACTTTGATGAACTAGATGTTCGCAATTTACAATATAACTTTACAGGCGGCTAGATCATATCCCTTCCGATTCGTTTTTTGCATGCATTCTGTGAAAATATAGGATAAATAAGATGCTTTAAGAATTCTACCATTCAAAATGTCGGTCTGAGCGCCTTTCATAAGTTATATCATCTTTGCACACCATTCATAATGATCCATTACAAAAAGCACAGTGACTCAACGAGATGAATGAGGGCCCCACTTAAGTTGGTTGAGGCCTTTCCCCCGGGAACTTTTTTAAACATATATGCCCTTCTACATTTTTTTCTGAGGGGTTGGGGCCGTGGACTTGGTTCAACAAGCCTAGGTCAAATCTTTTCGCCAATTCTTTGTACTGTGGAACGACATATTTTCGACCTGTTAATATTATGAATAACTGAATTTGAATTCAATCAAATATTTCATTTTTGAGGCCGACTTTGCATTTTGAGTATCATTGATAATCCTATATTAGTTTTTCATAAAGTTATTTATATTCAATACAATGGAGGCCTACTTGAATTTGAAGACATACGTCAGATGTCAAAGATAAAAAGACTTTGACCATGAACTACAAGATTATTTTCCAATGTATTGCGTTTCTTAGTATTATATATGGTATTTCTAAAATTGTTCGGAGCCACCGACGGAAATAATTGACCATACTTATTGACACATAGACCATGTTACTACAGCTGAAAATGAAAGTTGTCGCATGAGTGGGTGTTGAACAGGATTTGAACAGTTGAAAGAACTTGTAAGACTGAAGAGTATACCTTGAATTAGGAAGTTATGATGGGTTGAATTAAATTTTAAATTCGAAAAGTACTTGAAGGAAATAGCAGAATGTCATCGTCAAAATTGACACGTTTAAAAGAGAAATTGGTAAATATTTTATAGCATAGATCTACTATGAATGAACTCTCAGTCAGTGCTCTAAATTTATCAGTAGTTTCAACCACCTGCGAAGTGTTATTTTCTATTAATGTATGTAAATATCACATTAACACATACAATATCTGGCAATCGGTCTTCAATAGTTGCATTGGCCAGAAAGTGCACATTCCTTAGTTTTTATTTTAAAAGTAGAACAGTTTGAAAAGATTGTTTATTGCATGTCTCTCAACTACAATTTAAGTACCAGTACCAGTTCTGTCATTTCTAAAAGGGTTATCCGAGAAAAAAAATTGGAAAGTGAAAGATATTACCGAAAAAAGGTTCCTATATGCATTGTATAGGATTCAGGAAATTTACCCGCAAAGTTTTTCAGTGTAAAAAAAAAAAATTATTTTTGTCATGGAAAAGAAAAATGCCAAATAGATTTGAAACTTGAATCTATTGAAATAGAAGAAATAATGTTGGATAATTAGACTCTTTTGACCCGTTTAAATTATTCGCTCATGCCACGAATTTGAATATTCGAATATTAAAATATTATAGGTAAGATCTATGTGGGATGGCTACTTTAATAGTAAGTGTGATCTGGTAGTGAAATGGTGAATGTTTTTAATGAAATAGTGAAATGAGGTCAATGGTTGACATGTTTAAAGTACATACAGGTTTTAGTAGATTTCTACTATAACTCTTATTAGTACCAGGTGAAGTTTACAAATAAACCAAACAGGGTGGTGACTAGTCCATTGTATTCAAACTATTGAATGGACAAACCCATCTAAAATAAGGTCTTTGATCTATGTACGTTATTTCCCAATGAGAATTTTTTTATTGCCTGACATTACAGATATTTTTTTCAGATGTCTAATTGAATTCAAAAATATATATCGTGGGTGACTGCTTGAAACCTCGTATATGCCATATTTGGTCATTTTGACTTTTTGGTACCGTTCGAAAGCTCGCAAAAGGGCGGATCTTGTGATCAAATCCTCGTATTCTTAGCTTGATACTAAATAACTCAAAAAGCGCTAATTAAAAAAACACGTATATAAACAGTCAGATTTAAAACCTCGTAAAATATATTATTATACGAGGTTCAATGTTCCTTTTCTGCGTATGAAGATGAAAAACCTCGTATACTGTATTATTATACAAGTTTTTGGTTCAATAGTCCGGTGATCTCGAATTGTTATATTTTCCAAGAATGAAAACCACGTATAGCGGTAAAAAAAATAATCAAAAAGATTTTAACAAAATACGAGTACAAATAGTTTTTTGCGTTTTTCTCGAAAAGTAATTCCGCGTCAGATATCGTTATACGAGGTTTCAAGCGGTCACCCACGATATGTCATTAATATGCCCACAATTCTAGTTGATGCACAATTTCTATAGATTCCAACTGATTTTTTCATTTTGATTAAAATCCATTCAATGCAATTATCATTCATATATTCTTTGGTCGCAAATTGCATCTTGTAAGCAGGCAAATGAGTTCAAACTTTTGTAAATCAGCAGCCATATTCACCAAAAAATAGCTTCAAATGACTTTTAATCTTCATCTCATTATCCAATCACTTAATTTTATTTTTCATTGTATTTCTTAAAACTTTTATTTTATCAAAATTGTATTTTAGAGAATATTTGAAAAAGACCATCTTCAAATCTAAGTAGATTACAGGCCATATAAAAATATATTGTTTACTTAAGGTGGTAAATTATTACCTGAACAAAAATAAATGTTCTGTTTAATATAAGCTTAGAGATATTAATATTTTTACAGTGATTTTGTGTCTATTATATTATAATAATAATTATTAACCATCAGTAAATAATATAAGCTAAAATTGATTTGATTGTTATTATGTTTTATAGTAAGCTTATACTACTAGTTTCTTGTACATTCCTGTAATAAAATATCGAGCATATATCAAGCATGAATTCCTTGAACATAATCCATAATAGTCTTCTCATTTATTTAAAACATATATTGTATCATTGGTTACCGCTTGATCAAAACCTCTTATTCTTAGCTTGATTGTAAATAACCCAAAAACCACTAATTAGATAACACATATTTAAACCATCATATTTAGAACCTCGTAAAATATTATATTATATTTATGCGGTTCAATGTTCCTTTTTCTGTGGATTAAAACGAAAAAGCTTGTATGTATACTGTTATACGAGTTATTGGGTGAATAGGCCAGAGTGTTTTAATTGTTATACAAGGTTTCAATTTTCAAAGAATGAAAACCACATATACCTAAAAAGAAAGATTTTAACAAAGTACGCGTACAAATAGTTTTTTTTTGCGTTTTTCTCGAAAAGTAATTTCACATCATAATTCGTTAACGGTATACATAGTTTTAATCAGTCACCCACGATATCTCGAACATTCCTTTAATAAAATGGAGCATAGATGTTATTCCTTAAACATTCTTTTTATAAAATAGAGCAAAAACCATTGAAGATTGTTATAGTTCCAATAAGTTATTGTGAATCGCCATATGGAATTATGTTTAATAGTTAATTTATGAAAAGAATAGAATAATATTATAAGTTCACACAAGTACATAAATTAAATACAAAATTTCAATGGTAGAGCAAACAATCTTTTTCATTGAAATACATTTGACTTCCTGTTTGAACACTGACTGTTATTATATATATTTTACCTTGTTACTAATTCAATCTTATTTACATTGTAGTCTTAAAGTTTTATAGAAGAAGATTGTGTTTCAATATTAATCGTCAGACAAAATTTAGTTGAATTATGTGAATTAAATTTATTTGGCAGTATTAAAATCTCTTTACAGATATTTCTTACACTGAAATTAAAAAACTGGTGAAATTTAGTCTAGAAATTTCATAATGAAAAAAAAAATAATCACAATAAAATATCAGGTGGAGTCATACATAAGAAATTTTTGTAGCGTAAAGACATGATTTGAGACAATGTAAACCTGTTTCGCTTTTTCCATTGCAGATCAAATGAACATTGTTCCATGTTTTTGCCCTAGTAAGACATCATCTAAAACATAATAAGCAAATGATTCCAATATGCACATAATCTGCTAATATCACTACTTTTAATAAAGCCAAACTTTTATGAGTAGGTTTCTTGATGCTTCTGACCCACTGGTAAACAATTGATTATCTACAAAAAATTAATGATTATATACTGTGAAGTTGGGGGCTAAATTAGGTATAAAAGACAATTTAAGAGAAAAATATTAATGCTTGATATATATTGTATTGTAGCCCTTGTATCACAATATATATTATAACATAATTAGTGATACCTAATACCTAGAGCACTTGATGTGCTAGATAAAACATAGACTTTGTCAATAGATTTAGATTCATCCCATTCAGTGATTTAAATCATCTATAAAGCAATTAGTAAAGTAAAGTAATTAGTATTGTCATGGTCAATTACATTATGACTGGTCACAGGTGCTCAGTTCACTAACTCAGTTCACTAACCCTCTCTCTCTCTGTCAGTACTTCATATTGTTTGGATCTGCGATTAGGATTAAACTGTGGCTATGATATTCTCTTTGTAAAATATTTTGTTCAGTGGACTGAAGTATAAGATCTAAATTCTCAATATCAGAGATGCAAGCAGTTTCAATTACAGTAGGCTGAAAATTCTTATCATTATTATTATTTAGTGGACTGAAGTGAATTAATTAAGGCCCAAAATTCAATGGTCCAAGTAGTTTTGGTAGGAGTTAGCTTAAAATTCTTTGAGCTTTTTATGATTGTGATTCTGTGTGGGAGCTGAAAGTTGTTACACAGTGGACTAAAGATAGATTTGAATGGTAAATTCAGCAATGCTAGCCATTTCAGATAGAGATAACTTAGTTGTATCTGAGCTCTACTGTAGTGATGACTGTTAAAGTGTTTGGAGGGAACAGGACATGCTCTTTTGGAACATTGTATCCTATTTTTTGACTCTTTCTAGGAATGTACATGCTATGGACTGATATTATTCATGTGTTTATATCTTGGTTTTGTTTCCTTTTCAAGTTTGGCTCTTAAAGTGTTGTATATTTTTTTTTGTGCCTATGGAATTTTAGATTCCTTTGCTGTATGGGTATATACTGGTTCTCTATCTCAAAATGAAATTGTTTCTTTATAACCTTATTCTTTTGTATTTTAGGGATGTACGTCTGCCCCAAAACCACAAACAAGAACAGTAAACATTGGTCATAAACATCCTAGTACAGAAGAAGTTTACATTCCAGAATCTTTTCCTGATAATAGAGTCATATCTTCCAAGGTGGGTAATATTCTAGCATTTTAAAAGATCCCTCAATCATGGTGGGAAATCATTGGCTATTGCTGCTCTCCTTGTGTAGCGTCCTCATCAACCCAATCCTGAGAAGAAAAGTAACCTACAAAATTCTTTTTCATTTCATAACTGTAAGCCTTTTGACGTTAGCTGTACATAAAAAAGGAAAATCTGTGCATTGATGTGTTTAATATGATATTATGATAAACGACTGTAGAAACATATGATTTGCCTATAAATATTTGTTCCAATTCCTGTCAGGTTAGAGTGTAATATTAAAATGGCGTAAATTTTCTTAGTCAACAAGTTATTTGTGAACATCAGGGTCTGATTTGATATATAAACACGAGTACCAGTACTTCATTTAATTTTCTGGAAGAATAAGTATAAACTATATGACACTGACTTATATCAAGTTCATTACTATTTAAAGTACTTTAAAAATAAACAAGGCTGCTCATGTTAAGTTTAAATTAGACCTTGATTTACATACACATCATTATTCAAGTATATCTCTATAACTAATTAGATTAGAAATACTAGTGAAATGAATTGAAGAAGTATTTTGTGTATATATTGTATTTGGTCAGTATGTATATAAACTTAATTACCTACAAATATTTGATATAGGCCTGACCTTTTCCTTTCATCCTTAATTACAACTAATTAACAGGTTAAAGGTCATATTGATGTGCCTAATTCATCAGGTATTTACATCCTCTTGTCATCCAAACCAGTTTCTATCAAATTGCTATATTACTTTGGAAAGATCAGTTTTGAATGGAAGTTTGTTTAGCACAACCTAATATAATTCTTCCTTGGAATGAAAGTTTTATTGCCTGGTCTTATTTGGGTACACTGTCACAAATTGCAATAAGTTGACGCTTTAAACACAACTGGTTTTTCTACTGGACACATTTATAATTACATGATACAGTACCCTGACAGGCTGGGAAAGTGACCAAAACAAAGTGATGTTACATAACAATAAAGTCATATATTTTTACTCTAAGTTTTTCAAGTTCAGTATATATGATGTTCTATTTTATTTACACTTATTGTTAAAGGGTTGAATTTATGTATACCATTTTAAAATGCAAATATGGCAAGTTAAATTCAAATAAAAGTTTGTAAGTTTATCAAGATTTCTTTGATTTAGATTTTGTTACAGTGTAAGTAACTTACTTAAGTTTTAGTACTTTTGATATACCAAATAAAGGTGTTTAAATGTAAAAAGATAGAAGTATATTCATAATGACAATCATAAAAATTTAATTAATTTATAACTTTTTTGCACTTAAGTCAGATAAATTATATTAATTATATTTATATATTTTGTTATTATAAACCTAAATATAATGTGTGAATAAATAGTACTTATAGCCTTTTCTTTCAAAGATATAAGAACAGCCTTATTACACGAAGTTATTAAATCATGAAGCCAACATTAACAAGGAACAAAATTTTAAATTGAAATGTTATAACATCAAAAGCTTGTTTTGAAATATAACATGAAAACAATTTAGGGCACATAAAGTCAGCTGACTGCTGTGATATTAACTGCGTCTCTAACTGATAACATAATGAATTTTTTTACATCTCTCTGATAAACTGAAATTATAGATGCTACATAGTGGCATAACCTTTTCAACACCTGCCACTAATGCGATATATACCTGAGCAGCAATTGAAGTGACTGTTACCAAATGTCATCAGATAAGGTCAATGTCATAGGCTTTACATGATATAACTAGGAGAGTAATTGGTATATGATGATTGATTCACACTTATTTATAAAATGATATATTCAGTCATTTTTTCTGTTTATCAAACTGTTTTTTGTGTACATACACATTTTTTTTTTCAAATTCTACCTTATTTAAGCACCAGTTCTTTTATTGATTTTTTCAGTATACAGTATGGAATTTTTTACCAAAGAATTTATTTGAACAGTTTAGAAGAATAGCGAACTTTTACTTTCTATGTATTGGTGTTGTTCAGGTAAGTAATAAACAAATTACTGAAATGTTGAAGCTAAAGTAGGCATAATGCAGGTAACTCCTGATACCAGTATATTACAATTATTTATTTGTTATTAGTGTTTGTTATCTTATTTTCTAGATATAGACCAGTCACTCCTGTTACCAGTATATTACAATTATTTATTTGTTATTATTGTTTGTTATTTTATTTTCTAGATATAGACCAGTTACTCCTGTTACCAGTATATTACTATTGGTATTTGTTATTAGTGTTTGTTATTTTATTTTCTAGTTATCTATAGATACACCAGTCACTCCTGTTACCAGTATATTATTGTTGGTATTTGTTTTTATTGTTTGTTATTTTATTTTCTAGATATAGACCAGTTACTCCTGTTACCAGTATATTACCGTTGGTATTTGTTATTAGTGTTTGTTATTTTATTTTCTAGTTATCTATAGATACACCAGTCACTCCTGTTACCAGTATATTACCGTTGGTATTTGTTATTAGTGTTTGTTATTTTATTTTCTAGTTATCTATAGATACACCAGTCACTCCTGTTACCAGTATATTACCGTTGGTATTTGTTATTAGTGTAACAGCTTTTAAACAGGTTTGTATATGTCTCTGAATTTACTAAAAAGCTAAATAAAATGAAAAGAATACAGTCATCTACATATATCCAGTTGAGAGAGCTATATCCTTTTTCAGAAGTATCAGGATCATCTGCAATTCAATTACGGCTTAGAAGACTGTTCTAACTTTCATAACATTTCTGACAATTAACATTCAGGCTAAACAATGTCATTCTTTTTTGTCTATGTCAGATGACAGCTGGTCTTTTAAGGGTCAACTTTTTTTCTACACCCATGTTATGGTTGTGTTGTACCCTGAATGTTATTCCTCTATATTGACTTGTTGTGTGGGATTAA